TACCTTGTAATGAAATTCTGGCACCAGACTATAGTTTTCCCACAAGTATGACTTTGAGATGTGTTATAGAAATTCCAGGAAAATATAAAGAGCTAGTAACCAGATCATATGGACCTCAGTTTCTCTGGACTTATTACTACATACTAATGATATTTTTTTTTTAGTGTTCACCTTTGACTATCTACACTTCCTTAAAAACACACACACAAACACACACACACTCCCTGCTACATTTAAAAATTAAATTGCCATACCCTTTTCCTAATCATAAAGGAACTGTATGGTCAAATTTAAAACCTTAAGAATATTTACATCCGAATGAAATAAGCGATCAGGGCAAAAAAAAAAAAGTAATTATAATAAATTAAAAATCAAAATCAACGGGCAACTATAAATCAGAGATATTCTGGAGGGGAGGAGGAGAATGAAGGATCAAAACAGGTGTCAGAAGAACACAAAGGATTATGGTGATGGTGCCTGGGTGAATTAGTGTGGGAATTTCTCAGGGACTACACCTGAAAGGAGAAAGCACCCTTTGTACAAAAATGAGGATTGATGTAAAATAGATACAATATAGAAAAAGAGAGTATTTACATCTAAATAAAACTTTCTTAGATATTTACCTTTAAAGAAATCACAACATTTTTTCTTCAGATACCTCAGTTCAAGGCAGAGCTCCTGGTTTCTTTAACACGATCATTAGTTTCTGTCATGACCATTCATTCCCTTCTCTTTTAGGATAATCCTCAATGACATAAAAGTTTTTACCTTTTTTTGAGAGTTTTCCTGTTCTCTCAAGTTTCATGTAATGCAACTTAAACATAGCCAACTTTCTCTTCTTTGGTGATCAGGAGCACATTTTGTACCCCCATTTTCAAATGAAAGATTAAAATTACATGGCCTGTAAGTTCTTGTTAAGCATTATTTTCTATGATTCTACCATCTATAAGAAGTTGTGACACGGGACCGAGCGACAAGATCAGAATAGAAACTTAGTCTTGAGTTTTATTAATGACTCTTGGAAGTATAAGATTAGCTGAAGACAGCCTGGAAGATGACTTAGAAAGTTGGAGTCTTGGGCCCTCGCTCATAGTCCTGCAGGTTAAAGCACAGCATTAAGAAGCTAAAGCCACTCCTGCATGAGTTCAATCCCTACCCCGAGGTGACCCACATGGCGCGGCAGACCTCTCCTGACCCGCCTGCTGCTCCCCTCAGCAGTGTACTTCGCTGATGTGCCGGTTCTGTTCGCCACTCTGTCTCTGATGAATCATCTCAGTGCTCCTGCGCCTCGACCTTTACCCCAGTTCTGTATGCATAAATAAGTAAGTCTTTTTTTTTTTTTAAGATTTATTTATTTACTTATACAGAACTGGGGTATAGGCCAGAGATGCGGAGGGTGAGAGGATTCACCAGAGACAGAGAGGGGAGCTGAACAGGCAGATCAAGGAAGAACACTGCTGAGGGGAGCAGCGGGCGGGTCAGGAGAGGTCTGCCACGCCATGTGGTCACCTCCGGAGCAGGTGGGGGGGGGGGATTGAACTCATGCGGACCGATGTGGCTTAAGCTTCTTAGTGCTGTGCTTTAACCCGCTGCGCCACCAGGGAGAGCCCTAAATAAATACGTCTTTAAAAGAAAGAAAGAAAGAAAGAAAGTTGGAGTCCTACTTGTGGAGCCTTAAGGTAATCTTATCCATACAAGTAACAATGGAGAAATTGCATTTGGGGTCACATGAGTTAAACAACTGGAATATACAGCTGTTATTTTATGTGTTCAGTATGTAACATTTCTGGGAACTGGCACTAACTTCCCTCTACATGGCTCCTGCTGGAACTGCCTTGTTTATTGGTTCATTTAATCAGCAACTATTTATTGTCTGTTATATCTCACACTATTGTAGGCTTTGGAGATATGGCAATGAATAAAACATGCAAAAATTCCTCATAGATCTTACATTCTGATGGAAGGAATGAGACATTAAACAAAATAAGTAAATATTTAGTACTTCAGATGAACAGCGTGGAGAAAAATTAAGCAAGAAAGCAAGCAAGGAAAGGGGTGGGGTTGAGGGATAAAATGAGGGGAACACTTTGTTCTGTAGGTGGTCTGGAGGGACTTCAACTAGAATAGTTCTGAAATTGGACCAAAACAGGATGGATTATACCAAGAATGCGGAATGAGAAGCAGGAAAAGGAACCTCCTAGAAGCAAAAGAGAAGGATGAAGAGGACACAAGAAAGTAACATTAAAATAAATGATTTGGGGAGAGAGAAAGAAAGAGGGAAATGGGGGGGGTGGGAAGGGGAGGAGGGGAACAGGTAGAGAGAAGGGAGAGAAAGACTCCCAAGATAGTATAATATTATGGTATACTTCTGGTAAATCTTTCCCCCCCTTGCTTTGGTATGAATCAATTTCTTTCACTCCCAGCCAAGGAATCTTAACTCATAAATTAAGTAAGATAACCTGTAAATTCAAGGTGTGTCCATGTGGGAGATAGTGGATATCCCAGGAAACTAGACCTTGACACATCTGATCTCAAGAAAACAGATTTTTTTATCTGCAGAGAAGAGCTGAGTTTGTGTTCTCCAGCATCCTGGAAATAAAATATACAAGAAATGTTCCTTTCTTTGTTTTCTTAAAATTCAACTAACTGATTCTGCACTGAACTGTGGAAAATTCCAATGGAAGCATTATTTTTCAGCCTTAGTTCTGCCCTCCCTCCACCACGGAATCAACCGAATTTGGACAGTTCGCTAATGTCTAGACAACTGGAAAAAAAGACTCTAATTTTCAAGTCATCATTGTTCCAGCCTGCATTAAACCTTCTAAAATTCCTGACTCTGTTTCCACACCAGGAGGGCAGATCCCTTGTGAAGTCATACTGGCTTCATGCAAAAGGGAGAATCTTAAAGACGCTTGAATAATCACTAACCTTAGAGCTTTCCAACCTTTCAGTTTCTCTCCCCGAATTCTCAAAACAGTTCTCTTCTGGCCTCCAGACTCATGCCATGCAGAGTGTTTTTAGTTAGTTTCAGCTTTTTATAACAGGCCACAAAAGTAAGTGACTTCCTTTTAGGAGTTTCAGCTTTCTTCCATGCAAAACATTCCCTGACAAAGATGATTTTTACCTATACCCCATAAAAGTTCCCACTTAAACCATTGTAAGTGTACAGGTGAGTGGCAATAACAACATATGTGTCATTGTGAGCCCTGAAGATTTAATGAGGATCTGGTCATTTGGTTGGAATGGGGAAGGGAAAAACTATAGTAATAAATAATTATTGTATTTAAAGCAATTGTCTCTCACATATTTGTTGACCAATAGAGCAAGTACAATTGGGGACCCATAATTGGTGATTCTGAGAAGCTAAGAGGCATCATGAAGATACCAGATATTAAGGTGCAAGAGGATAGGAAGGACAAATGTGTGACTGTAAGAGACAATGACGATGAACTTCGTCTGACTCACAGTACTCACAGTACACTGTCATGTACCTGGGTTGGATATAAAATGAAGACTTCCTTCACATTGCTTGTGTTAGCATCAGAGTATGTTTCTGAATTTTGTTGGCAGTGAACAACTTTGAAAGAGGTCTCAAGCTGAAAGTTTAATTTTATGAATGATGATAATGGCTTTGGATAGCTAAGGAATGTGTCACTAGGGAATACAGTGTGCAAAAGAGTATTGGAAATCTTCGACTTATTAAGAATTACAGAAACTGTGGGAGAGGTGAAACCAGGCCTAAGAGCGGCAGGCATCCCAAGGCAATTCAAGATCCTGGCAACTTGAATTGCTCTTCTGTATTCTAGCTGCAACTTCCATGACAGCTGGTTGGTCTCTCTTTCTCTTGTCAGCCTTGGGCTCTGCTGCCCAAGAAAAGTGCCCTGCTTTGCAGCAGTCTCCTTGCTGCAACTCTTAGACGGAAAGAAGCAGTGTTCCACTGTGATGTGGCAGAGCCAAGATGCATCATCAGTGTATAGGCAACATCTTCAAGTTGAGTGGTCAATGTGCTTCTCCTTCCTATATATTCACATGGGCCTGTGGTGCTGCTGAAGGCAGCTGGCCCCCTGTGTATAGGGGTGGCAAGTTCATTAAGTACTTCAAGGATCAATGAAGAGCTAGAGTGGGGACTAGAGGAGTATGAGGATTGTGGAGGTTTTTTGCCACTTGGCCTAGTAAGTGCTAATCATTTGCTCCTATCTATGCTGGCCTCTCCCTCAATGACAACTGCAAAGGGCTAACTTTGGGGACAGTGGATCTTGGGTGCTGCTCTGATAGTACACGGTACAAAGTGTGTCCTCTTCACCAAGCAATTCCTACTCTGATCCTATCCCAAGGTGGGAAGGAATCGAGGACAAGAAAGGAAGAGCAGTCTTTTGACATTCTCAGAGGAGAATGTAATCTGAGAACTCAATGAGAATGGGCTGTAGGGACAGTCCAAGAAGTAATAAGAGGTTGGAGATAGTATCTTTGGGGAGAAGCCAGTGACTTCACCCACACTGTAGTGTCATACTTAAGGTTGGGGATATTTTAATCCTCATAAGCTGAATGAAGCACTGAACTAACGGAGTCCTGGTTCAACTCATGCCGCAGCAAAGGCCCGTGTTTTAGGTTTTCTATTCTTGGATGTTGAGTCCTTTTAGTTCCAAAATGGAGGTGACTGTGGGATAGGGGGAGAGATTTCCTGCCAACAGCATACATAGACTTGGTGTTTGGATTCTGCAGTTTAGAACCTATAGTGCAAATTACATCTGCAGCACAGAATTACCCTCACCTAAGGAAAGAGAGGGTAAAAAGGAGAAAAAGACAACACCTGAGTCTTTAGCAGACAAAGTTACAGCTCAGCCTACACCCGAAGCCTACGGACTACAATTCCCACAAACCCCTGCGACGTCCCAGCCGCTCAGAAAGGCAGCTCAGCGGGGGCCGCGGGGTGGGGCCGGGGTTTCATCGGGCGCCCTCTCTGTTGCGTCATCAGCGTGCGACTCAACGATACAAAACGGGTCCGGGCTACGAAAGCATGGCAGCTGCTGAGGCTGCGGAGGTGTCGTCATCTTTGAAAACAGACCCAGTCCCGGTCCCTGACACTGCAGGAACAGCTGCAGCCACGGCCGCCCACTCATCGGCGACGGCTGCAGCCGCGGCGGTGGCGGCGGCGGCCAGGACGGGGTCCGAAGCCAGGGTCTCCAAGGCCGCTTTGGCGACTAAGCTGCTGTCTCTGAGCGGCGTGTTCGCCGTGCACAAGCCCAAAGGGCCCACCTCAGCCGAGCTGCTGAATCGGCTGAAGGAGAAGCTGCTGGCAGGTACGGCAGCCCGGGTGGGGACAGGCTGAGGCGGTAGCCGCGATTGTGGAACCGCAGAGAGCACGCTGGGCTTCTTGCGCGCTGGTGGCTCAAGAGATGAGAGGAGGGAAAAGGGAGAAGGAGTCACTGAATTAGCTCTGGACCGACATCTAAGGCATCGCGACCTGGACTTGCCCGGAGGTGAACGCCGGTAGCCTACTTGGCAGTTGTTCTCAAGGGTAAAGCAAAAGCAAACAAACCGAACCCTACACACACACACACACACACAACACATAAACCCGGCTCTTGGCATACAGACGGATTTTCTGTACTCTCATCCCTCAGGTTTCACGTAGATGAACCCCCCACCCAAAGGAAGCACTAGCTCTGTACCCCCCAAGTTGCATTCTTAAGAATCCGTTGGAAATGCAGATAAACTGAATTTTTTTTTTTTTTTTTTTTTTAAGAAAGACAATACACAGCGATACTCACCTGGTGGGTGTAAACAGGAAAATGTCCTTCGTACTGGAGAAGATTCCTATTCCCTGCCCTCGCAGACATTGTGTTTCTGAGGGTCTGGGTATTTTTGGGAAATCGCTTATTAAACGAAGAGAGAACTCTCTTAACTGAGTTGCTGGTATAGTCGTTTCTGCATCCTTTGGGTGCTAACACAGGTTAGATGTTTAAGATCCCCCCAGCGTTTGACTCTTGACTTTCCATTAAATCAGCATAGGGGTTTTCTTACATGTTTATTGTCCCCTCGTAAACTTGACACCCCCTTTTTTTTTAAATGTAAAGACAAATTATTGGATAGCAACTTATTAACGTGTACACAATACAAATGTTTGTTCCTAATAGGAACTCTCCGATGTTTAATTGCAGTGTCTGCCTACTTAGTTGTTACACTTAAACTTGTTACTTGTAAAGATGTGTTACATAGGGGATGTTGAAGAAAGAAATTACATCAAGGGCAAAACTTTGTGGTGGTGTACAAATTGCAGCTTTTGTTTGGCCTGTTTTATTAGCTGACCCACGAAGTAATGGTGACCATTTTTCAGAAGGGTTTCTGGGATCATCTAAGCCATATCTTGGCTTTACGGTTAATCCACTTCCAAGAATTGAAGTTTAAAACTGATTTCAAGGCCACTGCTGGACCATTCTCTGGAAGCCACTCAGATGTAGACATTCTCATTATGTTCTATTTCTGTCTTGCTTGCATTGTGCTGTATTAAACTAATGTGAGCTAGACCAGGGCTTCCCAGATGCCATTCTGACTAACTGAAGAAATTGCCTGGGAATGTTCTTTTTAAAATAGTGTTTATTATTGAAATGACCTTGACATACAGCATTGTATATGATTTAGGGGTCTACATTCACACTTCTTCATTATATATTACCTCAACGCACCTACCACCAAAACACCCGGAATCCTCCACCACAGTTTATTGCACTCCCCTCTTTTCTTTCGGCTCTTCCCAACCTGCCACTGATAGCTTCAACTAGATTTCTAGGGTTTGTTTTGCTTCAGTTTTGTTGGTTCTTTTGTTTCTTTATGCACCACATCTGAATGAAATTATTCACTGTTTGTCTTTCTCCTTCTGAGTTATTTCGACTTAGTATAACCCCTTCCAGTTCTTGAGAAGGTTCTTCAAGATAGAATCAACTGACTAACTTTGGAATACTATTTCTCTGTGATTTAACAAGTGTCCACACATTTTAAAATCTGCTCTTTTTTAGTATTATCATAATGTTCCTATAGTTTATACCAAGTATTCCATCTTCCTCCCCTGATATTTATGAGATCTAACTCCATTTGTCTTGGTAATTGTCATTTTTCCATCCCATTTATACTAGAAGCTGGAATGCCTTCTCCAGAATGGACCAAGAGGAAAAAGCAGACTTTGAAAATTGGGCATGGAGGAACATTAGACAGTGCAGCTCGGGGAGTTTTGGGTAAGAGATATGAATAAAAATTTAATGTGACTGTCAATATCAGAAAGAAAATTTATTGAGCACTGATAAGATTGATCATGTGGCATTTTCAGTCTATGCAATTTTTCAGACCTATTGCATTGATAGTGCCATCTTTTAAAGAAGCCCTTAAAGAATACAAGATATACAAAGCTGTTAAAACAGCCATTTTTAGGGCCCTCCCTGGTGGTGCAGTGGATTAAAACACAGCACTGAAAAGTAAAGCCACTTCAGCATGAGTTGAATCCCAGCCCTGGAGGTGACCCACATGGCGCAGCAGACCTCTCGTGACCCGTCTGCTGCTCCCCTCAACAGTGTACTTCGTCAGTTGGCCTGTTCTGCTCCCAACTCTGTCTCTGGTGAATCCTCTCACTGCCCCTACACCTCTGGCCTGTACCCCAGCTCTGTATGCATAAATAATCTTTAAAAAATGAAATAAAACAGCTACTTTTGGGTGGTACATTGGGAATGGATTTGTATTTGCAGAAAAGGGTTAATATAGCAGGCCAGAAGTTGCTGTGTTCAGAAGGGTCTCTTTGCGAGTCCAGACCCTTGACTGGTGTTTGGGAAGGAGGATTTGGGTGATATCTCCACCCTTCCCCAGAGTGACATACTATGCTTTGACTGTTTATGCTGAGCATTGCCTTCATAAAGGAGCTGGAATTTTATTCTACCATACAGGTAGAAGCGGCGGGGGTGACCATCCTCATCTCCCCCAATAAAAACCCTGGGTACTGAGCTTCTAATTGGCTTTCCCAAGCAGGAATATGGCATATATTACTGCTTATTTCAGTGTACACTCCTCCCCAACCCCCCGCCTTGTGATGGGCAGGGAAGAACATAAGCCTGAAGATGGCTTTCTCTACTGCCTTTTCCCTGATGACCCAGCTGTGCAGCATTACGATGCCACAGTAGTAAATCTTAACCATGTATGAGTCTTCCAACGTGGGGTGGACTTGGGGACTCCCAATAAGATAAATGACTCTTTTTTCCTACTAATGTAAAATCTAATCTCTGAGAACAGCTCTCTTGAGAAGGTGAACCTTACAGTTCCTGAGAGGAAGTCACTTTCTTTTGGCATCATAGTAGTTCAGTGTTTTATTGCTTGTTGAGAAAAATTGATAGAATTGATTGAGGGGAGAAAAATCACTTCACCTCCTCCCCCCTTTTTTTCTGCATCTGGTAGAGGTTCTGCAGTTTATCCTTATAAACTGTTAAAAGTGTGTACCTCGTAGAAACCAGGGTATGCCTTGCAGGTTTTTTCTGTAACTGCGTCCATGGTCACAGAATTACATATGTTGTGATTGCATCCAAAAACCCCCTTTCCCCACGTATTAGAAAAAACTTCTGTGGAACAATACTTAACCTTTTACATGTCTGGTGTTTCATTCTGTTTCAGTTTTTTAAAATGTTGATCATAATCTACTAAATTGATTTCATGACACACTAATGGCTTGTGCTCATAGTTTGTAAATTGCTGTGCTACAGTATCCAATCCATTTTATTAGCGCTAAAATTAGACACAACAAATCTGATCCAGGCTCTCTAAAGGAAATGGGTGCTTATTTAGAGAAAAGGATAAAATTGGTGACATAAATTATACTTTTCAAGGAAATTAGAAAGAATGCACTTATGTTAAATTATAGCAGTTGAGGTTCAATTAGAACAACAAAAAAGGACAAGGTAATGTTCTTACACTAGGGGATTGAATTGGCAAATTCTGCTCAAGTTAGTGTTTCTTACGGTAATGAATGATAACTATTTTTTGAGGTTATGTAAGGTCCTTGGCTCATTCATAAATTATGTTTTAATCCTTATTGTAAGCCTGTAAGACAGCTATTCTTTAATCCCATTTTACAGAAGCCATAAAGACCTAACAGATAAAGTAAGACATGCTCTATGATAGTGAGTGGCAAAGTCAGGGTTGGAACTGCCAAGTTCCCAGAGCATCTGCCCTAATTTGGGATGGCAAATACCTGGCGATCCTGCCTTTGTTTCCTCCTCCTCTTCCTCCTGATCACAGGAATTATTAATTAGTGCTCCTCACTATTGGATCCTGAAGTGACTTCACTATTTTACCAGTTCAGCACTCCTTGAGTTGAGCCATTCTGTCTGTTTTTTCAAGGCAGAGTACTATAACTGTAAGAGAGGATAAGATGTGCTGCTTATTTTTGAATATACCATCTGTGTTAATCTGTTATGGCTGTTACTCATTGTTTTGTAGCAAGTAGTGATATTTATTTTTTACCCAAACTGAAGGGATCTTTTCAAGCTTCCATGTTAGTATTTATTATAAAGGGGAAGGCATTTAGCTGAGATTTGTATGAAGAGAGGAAATTACCTTGGGAATAATTTTCCTTTAGAGGTTTTAATTTATATTGTCCATGCAGGTAGTTTTATGATATGTTTGTATGTCAAACTTACTAATTTTTCTTTTTTTTTTTTAAGATTTATTTATTTATTCATATGGAACTGGGGTACAGGCCAGAGATGTGGAGGGTGAGAGGATTCACCAGAGACAGAGCGGGTAATAGAACAGGCAGAGTGACGAAGTACACTGCTGAGGGGAGCAGTGGGCGGGCCAGGAGAGGTCTGCCTGGCCATGTGGATCTCCTCCACGGCCGGCGGGATTCGAACTTAAGCGGTAGTGGCTTTAGCTTCTTAGTGTTGTGCTTTAACCCGCTGCGCCACCAGGGAGAGCCCAAACTTACTAATTTTTTTATACTGATGAGAAATAAAACTTACAATGAGGAATAAAGATGTTTTGGTTTTTTTTTTTTTTTTAAGTAGGCAATTAGTCACAGAGTAAGAGGTAGCTGGAGTCTAAGTTTCTAAGTTAACAGTCTGGAGACTGTTAAAGAGTAGCAGATATTTATTGTTTGGTTGGAAAAAAAAAAAAAAAAAAAAAACCACGCTCTGACCACATGTGAGTTGAGCTTATATACTGCCTGCTTTACTTACTTACTATACACACCCCGGGTAAATACCCATACTTCTTTGAATTTCAGTTTTTCTCTTAAAAGGAGGTAACATCTATGGTAATTCTCTAGAGGGTTATTGAAATATCTATGGTTTGTGCCTGTGAATTACTTAATAAGCTTTTTTTTTTTAAATTTTAACAATGCAGAATCTATCATGGGTACTAATTTGAGAATTTTAGCAGAGTCTTGACATGATAAAAAGTTCAGGTTTATAATTCTGTTAGCCTATATAGTATTTAAAACCTGTATAATTCTCTATAGAAGGCTTGCAAAATTCTCACAAATCCCATGCTAGTCAGAATAATGTCCCCTGAAAGATGTTTACCTGTGAATGTGCCAGGCATCATCATCACAAGGGGAATGCAGGTTGCATGAGGAATTAATGTTGCCAATTAGCTGCACTTAGTAGATTACCCTGGAACATCCACGTGGACCCAGGTTATCACAAAGGTCTTTAAAAGTGGATTAGTGGCAGAAGAGAGTCAGAGAAGAGGTGGCACTGGAAGCAGAGGTGAGAGTGATGGAATTGTTGGCTTAATAAGAAGGGAGGCCATGAACATTTTCAGGAACTGGCGGGCTTATACTCAGCAAAATAGAAAGGAGAAAGAAAAAAACTAGTTAATTTCACTCATCTGTGGAGTAAAAGGTAATGTGAGCAGCTTCTAGAAACAGGAAGGCAAGGAAACTCCCCTTTGTCTACAGAGATATTCTCCCAAGTACATCCAGAAAAGAATGCAGCCATATTAACACCTGGAATTTTAGCCTGTTAAAACCCATCTCAGGCTTCTGACCTCCATTAGTATAAGATAATAGGCTTAGGTTGTTTTAAATCACCCAGTTGGTAATTACAATGTTCTAATATAAGTTACTTAAACTGGAAACTAAGTTTTTATATATCACTAAAAACTTGTTTTTAACTTTGGAGACTATAAAGTCATAGTGGAGAACTTTAGAAATACATAAAAACCAAATAAAAAGTTCCAAATAAAAATTTCTCCTTTATACCTTCAAGCAATAATTATTGCTAACATTTTTGTTATATTCCTAAATTTAGTGTTTATGTAAAAATTTTAAGCTGTGCTTTTTTACTGTGTGTACAAATATAACTGTATATTAGTGTTGAAATCATAGCAAGTGTCTTCTCCAACCACGATAGTATGAAACTTGAAATCAATGATAGGAGAAAGCTGGAAAATTCACAAATATGTGGAAATTAAACTGAACATATTTTAAGTGAACATAAATTAAACTGAAAATTTAAACTGAACATAAACTGAAAATTCACAAATATGTGGAAATTAAATTGAGCATATTTCTGAACAACCAATTGTTGAAAGAAGAAATTAAAAAAAAAAAAAGAAATCTTGAGAGAAGTGAAAATGGAAATGCAACATACCAAAACTTGCAGAATGCAGCAAAAGGGAAGTAATTTTTTTTAAAATATTTACTTATTTGTGCATACAGAACTGGGGTACAGGCCAGAGGCTCAGGGGTGGTGAGAAGCTTCACCAGAGACAGAGTGGGGAACAGAACAGGCAGATCAGTGAAGTACACTGCTGAGGGGAGCAGCAGGCGGGCCAGGAGAAATCTGCCGAGCCATGTGGTCACCTCCGGGGCAGGTTGGAATCGAACTCATGCGAAAGTGGCTTTAGCTTTCTAGCACTGCGCTTTTAACCCGCTGTGCCACTAGGGAGGGCCGGGAAGTAATTTTTAATGGTAATGTGAGTGTTGTATAAAATATAATTTATTTAGACATTTGCCTATTTGAGGTGATTGAATTTATCAGAGAATATGAGTTCTAAATATAATTTTAGACATTTGCCGGTTTGAGGTGATTGACTTTGTCAGAAAACTGAACATCTTTTTTTTTTTTTTAACAAAAGTTTATTTTTACATCATTTTGTACATTTTTTTTTCCATCTCGATTGTAATCCCCGCGGGTTTCCCATCACCAAGTCACCCGTGTGCCATCACCATAATCCTGTGCATTTCCCTCCCCCCCCCCCCCATTTTTGATCCCATTCCCCACTCCACCCCCACAAAATGTCTCTGGTATATGGTTGTTCATTATTTTTGTTATTTTCTTGCCTGGTCCATTATATTCCTGCTGTGAGTGAAACCATCTGGTATTTTTCTTTCTCTTTCTGGCTTATCTCATTAAGCATGATCTTTTCCAGCTCCATCCAAGTTGCTGCAAAAGACATGTGTTTCTCTTTTTTGGTTGCTGAGTAATATTCCATTGTATATATGTACCACATCTTTTTTATCCAGTCATCTACTTTGGGTCATTTGGGCTGCTTCCATGGAAAACTGGACATCTTTTAAAAAATGTTTTAGATACATTTGATACATAACATTGTGTAGACTTAAGGTCTACACAAAGCATATTACTTTGATACAGTTCCATATTATAAGATGACTGCCATTGTAGCAATATTTATCACATTAAATACTATATACTATTATTACCTATATTCATTATATTGCATATTATCATGATCTCTGTGGCTTATTTACTGCTCAATTCAGGTTTGTACTCTTAAGCTTATCCCCCACTCCTATCTCCTGATAACTGTCCTTTTGTTTTTTTTTAAAAAGCATGTTAGACTCTTAGAGTCTACATATAAATGAGTGTTACTTATATTTGAAAAAAATCTTTATGAATAAAATTTTACTTGTTTTGGATTACTTTGATTCTTAGAAATGGAAAGAGATGGTCATTTAAGGTGACTGTAAGGGTGGTCTAGAATTAAATAAATGGCAGTAGAAGTTTCCAACTGCAAAGAGCTTTGAAATTACATATGTAATACTTCTGCCTGTCTTAAAGTGGTTCTCATCGTAAGTAAATTCTATCTTTATGATTAGAGAGTAAAATACTAGGACATTTGGATTGGTTTGGAGATGTGGGTTTTTTCTAACAGAGAAAACATTTCAGGACAGAGCATTTGGGAAATAGAGAATAGTAATTTTGAGATAGTACTTGAAAATGCCTGTTATTTATTCATCCTAATTCTCCACACTTTTTCATACTGCACTCATACTTTTCTTTCATTATAAACTGCTATCTCTGTGTTTAATTGTAGAAATCCTACTGGCCTTTCCAGATTCTTGGCTGAAGTCTTCTCTCCTCCATGTGCTTTTTTGTATTGCTAATGTAAAACTTCATTCTATTCTTAGTTTTGTTGATTCAGTTAATTTTTTAAATCTATACAGTAAGTACTGACTAAAGTTTTGGGTGATTGAATGTGAAAAGTATAAAAATTCTGCCCCATAAACTATCCTTGGAATGAAAAGCTGCTGGTTTACTGGATCTCAAGTCCAGGTGATTTTTCTATACTAGTCTAACTAAAATTATGCTTTCTGAAAAGACGTTGGGCTTTAGTGTTCTTGGGTATAAAATGAAAGGGTTCAGCCAGGAAACAGAAAGACAATTTTTTGTTTAAAATCTGTTATTCTGATTCATGTGACTAGCAGCCTATATGGGAGAAATCATCAGCTTAACATGTCAATCATAATAAAACCAAGTCTGTCAGTCTTCTTTTAAGACACCATATACTCTGGTTGATAAACCACAGTGTTCGAATTACATCTGAGAATGTATTTATCTATAACATGCTTCTTTCTTTGTTCTTTGTTCAAATCCTGTACATTCTTTAGGACTAACACAAACTGAAATGTTAGACTAATGCTTTCTCTGACTTCTTTAGCCATTTAGTGGGTTCCCTCCTGTGATTGCTTACAGTTCTTCTCTGTGTTCATTTTGACAATAATACATTGCTATCATATTGTTACTGACTCATTCACTCATTAATTTAGACTACCTTTTTTGAGCACTTGTGATTTCCCTTGTCTGTATGTATACAGTTTTCTCCATGAGATTATAAACTCATTCAAAATCAGGAAATATGCTGTCCCATTAAAAGTATTCTTCTTGGGACTGTGTGTATAGAAGCTGCTTTCAAAAAACACTGATTGGGGATTCATTTGATTGGAGAAACATTGCACTAAATGTTCGTCGTTGTTGTTATACAAAGTTTTTGCCTCTGCAGAAAAAGCTGCCATTTAAAGAATTCAGAGAATAGTGAAGGCAGAGATTTTCTTTTTCTTTTAGTCCTTGAACTAATGATTGTTAAAAGGTGAATGATCAAAATGAAAGAGTGTCATAGAAGCTAAGGGAGGGCTTGGGATAGACATTATGAAGGTGCCAGGATTTGAGCTGGGTTTCAAAGAACGGACATAAAATCCTTCACTAGGAAGATGATACTATAGGCACTGGGATCCTCTTGAAGATTCTTGGTTGGCTGTGTGGTGTGCAGCACAGGTTTTCAGAAATGGTTATGCAATGATATGAATTGAATAAAAAGGGCAGGATGGAGAGAGTCAAGTTTGCATTGGTTTAGATGAACCGGAAGGTGGCATTGGGAAGAAAACCTGGGCAAATAGGTGGCAGGAGATGAAGAAAAAGGAAGGGGGGTCTGTCGCGAAGATAGTCTGGTTTGAATTTTAACTCTACCATATACTTCATTTTGAGTTGTGGGTAGAATTCATAGTTTTTCTTTGCCTTAGTTTTTTTCATCTATGCATTAAAGGTAATTGTGTTCCCTTTTAGGGTTGATACAAGGATTAAATTAGCTAATGAGTAGAGACATTGAGAATGGAATGTTATACATGATAAACCCTGTGAATGAGATTTGTTGTAGATGTCTGTTATACCTCTTTCAGCTTGCCCATCATTTATCCTTGTCTATAATTCTTAGTTGCGTTATGCTGTGTTTTTACACAAAATTGTGTTTATTGATGAGAAATACTTTAATTATTACAAAAATTTGCCTGCTAGTAAGTGAAGAAATGATTGCACTCTCTCATTCTGATCTGGTGAAGTGTGATACAAAATGTTTGATATTGAAGAGCCAGCATGTATATAATTCTATCAGCATCTTTCTATTAAGCTGCTAGTGTTCTTCCAAATAGCGCTACATGCACACACATACATACACCCATACATGGTGTATATTAGCACACTTTCTCCAGGCTTTCATTTTATCCTGTCCTGTTTTCTTTGTGTTAGGTTGATTTGTTATGTTTCTGTTTTCTTGATTGTGTACTGCTGCATACTAATCTTTAAATGGTTCATTAGCTATGTTGATGGCTTCCGCTTTGTTTAATAATAAACTGTCAAATATTTCATCATATCATGGGTAATTGGTTCATGTATTTTTTAGTGATGCCCATGTAAAATTCCAATGCATCCTTAGAGATTTTTCTAACACTTCTCTTTGAGAAAGAAAGAAAAAGTCTCCTTTCTTCAGAATTTCTTAGTTGCGTGACAAATCCAACTGATTGGAGTAAGAGACTTCAATTAAGCTAAATAGATGCTTTTTCCAACTTCGTATTACATTTGCCAGGAAATTGTGACCAACATATGTTGATATTTTAAAACCTGGATTTTTGACTAGAATGTCATAATATTTCTTTCTTTGATTTGTAGTGGTTGGAATTGGACGGGGCACAAAAATGTTGACCAGTATGTTGTCAGGGTCCAAGGTAAGAAAATTGTTAACAGTTTTCATTTCTTTTTTCTGGTATGCTTTACTTAATGACCTACGTATTAGATTTTATCAGTTGAAAAATAAACTATGTAAAGTTCACGCATGGTATTAATCCTGTATATAAATTACAATGCTTATAATCATAATATCTGAGATTTAAAACTGCAGTGCCCGTAGTTTTTTAAGGTTTTTCAAGGTAATCATATTTCTTAGCTTAAAAGAGAAGTTACAAATCATACATTTTATCATAGAGTTTTTTTTTTTAACCTTAGAATTCCTACAGAAATGTCATTTTGTAAACTAGGCACTTTTCAGCAAAAGACATGCTTTGTGCAATGGTTGCAAAGTGTTTACTAAAGAAAAGAGAGCGAGGCTTCCTTAAGTCACATCACTGATCTGCTGGAGTAGCCTTGATGAGATCCAGAAGCACTCGCTAAAGTGAGAGGAGGGTTATGCAGAGGCTGAGAGCCAAGGGACGGCTTCAAACTGCCGCTGAGTAGCTCTCACGTGAAAGGAGCACTGAACAGCCGTCTGTCAGGTGTCAAACTGGCTCGCCTCTTGGGCCTCTTAGTTTTAGGAAAAATGATTTGACCCTTCCAGGATCCCTTCCAACTCTAAGAGATAATAAAGTCTCTATTCTAATTAGTCACTAGGTATGGGTCATCATAACTGGGGCTCAAGCCAGTGAACATGGTACTAAGTGGAAGAGAATTTCAGCAAGTTTCTGATCTAAACATTTTCTTTGTTTTAAAACCCTTGCTTGAAGTGGGATATAAATAGTTAGTAAAGGGATTTGTCTACATTTTTTTCTTAAGAAAATATAGTCAGGGCCCTCCCTGGTAGTGCAGTGGGTTAAAGCACAGCACTAAGAAGCTCAAGCCACTTCAGCATAAGTCCCAGCCCCACCCCAGAGGTGACCCACATGGCGCGGCAGGCCTCTCGTGACCCACCTGCTGCTCCCCTCAACAGCGTACTTTGTCAGTCAGCCTATTCTGTTCCCCACTCTGACTTTGGTGAATCCTCTCACTGCCCCTGCGCCTCTGGCCTGTACCCCAGTTCCGTATGCATAAATAAATAAATCTTAAAAAATATATATATATATATAGCCAGAGAGCATTTAACAATTTTTCCAGGTGATTGCAGATTGATGACTAAAATATAATTCCAGTGATATGGTAACATCAAATTGCTAAATAAGTTTCTAAACTTCCTCATTTTTGACAATTATCTTTTCATGGAGAGTGGCCCTTACGCTACATTTTGAGTGGCAGTAGTCTAAATAAGCTTTTCTTAAAATAAAAAGTCCCAGAGAGCATATTGCCTTTGACAGCCCATTCTAGTTATCAACTGGCATTACAAACCGGTGTCTTTTAGTTGGCAGTGACATTAATGTCTTTGCTAAATTGAAAATTCTCAATGTGTCTTGCTCTGCAGTCTTCAAATTACTTTTGAAAGTCCCAGGACATAAAAGATTGTATTAGATTGGAAGAGTTTGTTTTATAGTAAATTTGTACAAAGTATTTATACCAACACATGAAGTTAATAATCTGTTTCTCATACAGATTTTTTGCTCTTGCTTAATATTTGTTTCTTAATTTTGAGACATAAACAGTGGTTCCTTTGGCACAGGATTATGGGTGATTTTTATGTTCATCTTGCACATGACTTGATATTTTCCCAGACCTTTATAAGGACATTTTTCTGGTCATAACCAAAAATATATATTTACATTGGGGCCTTTGGCTTTTCTTCCCCAAGATAAAATATGTTGAATCATTGGCAATATTCGTTATCTACCTCTCCCCATCAAAATCACAAATATGCACAACACACTATGTTATTGAAACATTTGACGTGTAAATTCCAGGCACATTTGCAGAGGTGTGATGACTGGAAATGTCAATACACCATTGACTCTTTATTTGTCACAAACTGTTTTGGTATTCAGCAAGGAAAGTTGAATGTCATATAGTGAAATCACTGATCCTCAGATAACTGTAACTTCAATAGAAAATCCCAGGTGCATTTTATCAGAGAAGCCTAGTTCTTGAGTGCCTCGCATTTCAAAATTTGGCATGGTTGTCTGGTTAGTTATTTGTATATTTTACACTTTTAATTTTTTTTAAAGATTTATTTATTCATACAGAACTGGGGTACAGGCCAGAGATGCAGAGGGTGAGAGGATTCACCAGATACAGAGTGGGGAGCAAAAGAGGCAGATCGACGAAGTATACTGCTGAGGGGAGCAGCAGGCGGGCAGGAGAGGTCTGCCACGCCATGTGGATCTCTTCCCGGGCAGGCGGGGATCGAATTCATGCGGAAGTGGCTTAAGCTTCTTAGGGCTGTGCTTTAACCCGCTGCGCCACCAGGGAAGGCCATACACTTTTAATTTTAAAGTATGTATTTGCTGAAAAAAAATTAAATCATTAAGTTTGACTACTAAGCATTTACTACTATTTTTTTAATCAAAAATAGGTTTTTAAAAGTAAGTTTTGTTTTTAGCACTGGAAATAATCTTAGAGACTTCTTATTTTTAGATCTTAGAGACTAAGACCCATAGTAAGAATTCTGTGTTCTATCAGTTTACATGTACATATAAATATATAAGTATATAAATACCAAAAATTTCTTCAGACAACTTTAATGCTGTGTACAATGTTCTCTTAACATTTTCCCTCACTTCTTTAAAATAAAAATTATTATCTGCAGCCTTCTTACTGGGTACCAATCTAATATTTACTCTTTTCTCTTTCATAGATGATAATTTTATTTGTGTCACAGCACTGCTAGGGAAACTAGACTTGTAGAGATACGGGGTGGAATTGCCACAAGAGCGGAAAGGCTCAGTTTTAGATTGCAGACGTGCAGTGTTCATTCAGTCTCCCGTCTCAGTCCACTCTTCTTCCCCTCGCAGTCCTACTTAGAGACATTGTTCATTGATGTGGCTTAACACCCTTTCCTGCTCAAGCAAGAAACATCCTAAGAACTCTTTTAACATGATGCCATTCATACAACCACTTTTAGTTAATGGGTAAAGTAATGATTTCTTAAAAGTAAAATCTTTAGTGCTCAGATTATCTCATTTTCATTCTGTGAAGGCCAGAGAGTATCCAGACGGGCCTCCCCTTTTCTTGTGTTCCTTGTCTTTCAGATCGAGTAGCTTTAAGCATCCCTACCTCAATACCCCAGCAACTCTCTTGTGTTCATAGGAAGTGTTGCTTTACCAGTGATCCATTTTCTCTTGCATCATCTTATTTCACTATGTGTTTTGGGGGTATTAGAAGTATAATATATATTTAAAAAATCTAGACTTTATGTACAATACCTTATATATAGACGTTGTTCAATAAATGCTATCATTACTGTTCCTGAGTATTTCATCGATTCCCAAATTTCTCTAAGATTTCAGACCTGTTGGACCTATCTAAATATGTAAATACATGACATATTTTTTTTTTCCATTAAGTCCTGTTGGGTGTCTTAAATACAGTTAATTTCATTTTTCTCATTTCTGTTTGTGATTTCTGATGACCTAGGCAAAACACAGCATTCATCAGGAGGAGGAAGGGTGTTATTTCTTTCAGGCAGAGACAGTTTCTCTATGCGTAAAGTCAAAAAGAAATTTCTTACAGTGAGGGATATTAAATTTTACAAGTGTAGAAGTGACACTACATTAAAATATAACTTAGGTAAAATGATTCTTATCCTTGTTTGGTCTGTGTTTGGAATGTGGGTTATCTAGAAGGAGGCAGTGGCTACATAGTCCCCTGCACTACCATCCCTAAGTTACCCTCTTTGACCAGTCACTCAGCACACACTGTTGAGTAGCTATGCTTTGAAGTGACAGTCTTTGATGAGGTTTTGGAGTACTAGTTCAACTAGCCCTCTGCATCATGCCAGTTACGGTTAGTTTCACATCCATTCATACTTAGACCTGGATGAGTAGGTGGAAGGTTTATGTTCTACAATGAAGTCAAACCAGAATTTTCCATTTGTAGGGTTAATCCCCATTTCTATGTGGAGACAAATCCTAGTAGGACCTGTGCAAACCAGCATTTCCTCAGAAAGCACTTTGTATTCTTCCAGCAATTGAGTGAGTATTACCACTAGGATTTGCAGACCCATTCACTTTAGATACTTTCAAGACATATTTCCCCCAAGTATATGGTATTATTTATATATTAACCAGTCATTGTTAACTCTAAAGTATGACTTAAATAACAATTCTGTGAAACTTAGCTTTCTAAGATTTGAGCATTTTCACTCCATTTTCTCCAGAGGCTAGTCCAGCATGTACCTTTTCTTTTATACGCTTATCAATATTCATACATTTCAAAAGCACTATGTTGAAAAATTTGAAGTGTTTATCCTTGTGAACTATAAAAAGCTATTCCTTTTTAATGAGGACATTCAAAGCCACATGCTTTAGGTTTGGTAAGGTTCCCCTCCTCCCCTCAAAATGTCCGCTGTCTTTTTAAATAAATCCCATTGTTATTTGAATCATAAACTACTTGAGATGGAAATGATCATGTTCACTTTCTATAATAAAAACACTGTCCTTTCTCCTGAAGAGCACAGAAGCCGTTTTGCTTTTTGAGTTATCTGGTTGATATCTGTGGCTTCAGCTTGAAAAAGAGTGAAGTGGAGAGGAGAAATGAGGTGTCTGTAACATGAGAAACCATGCATCCCCCAAAGCTCACAATTCAAAGGAAATATCTTATAAAATTCTATAGGTCCTCCATTTGTTTCATTGTTTGGAACTTTGTTGTACCTTAATAGAATCCCCAATTCCCAGGTACATAATTTGGAGAATAAAACCCTGCTTTGTACAGAATTTCAATTGACAGTTACTTTAGACCTCACATGACAAAATCATGGGTTGTAATATGTACATTCCTATGTCTTTTTTCCTCTATCCTGTATCTGAGGTTCTGTTTTAGCTGGAAGCTTCATGGTCTGGATGGGTTTTTCTCAGTAGTTTGTGGATCACTGAATAGAATTAAAAGATAATTATTACTAGATGCCAAGACAAAGGAAAGGAAGAAAACAACTGTGATTTTGATCAGCTGATCACGAAGTATAGTCCATGGACTTACAAGATTTGTTTAGGGCATCTGTGCAGTCAAAACTATTTTCATAGCTTTGCCATTTTTACTTGCACCTTCACAATTGCACAATGCAGTTTTTCAAAGGTCAAAGAAGGCAGTGATGTGACTGAAGGCTAATGGAACAAATGCACGCATATTAATGTTTTAAACATTTTTTGATTTTAATTTCCAAAATAATAAGCACTTACACCTACAACCCATATGAGAAACAACTATGCCAGGTATTCTCAATAACTTTCAAATGTTTATAGGGGTTCTGCAAACACAGTGTTTGAGAACTGCTGGCTTAGGCAATGTTTCCTTAAAAGGAATCTAGTATGTAGACAGATACTGCATAACTGCAGGATTGGGAAAGATTGAAACTTGGCAGATGCCATCTGGATGCCCAAAACCGTGGTAAAATGTGAAGGATTGCGCACACAGGAGCTTCTCTAGCATGTATATAATTCAGCCACCACCTTTTATTAAGCCACTACTGTGCTTCCAACTAGTAAGAAACACAGATAGGCAAAAATCCAAGCTAACAGAGTTTGCAGTTTGGGGATGATAAGGGTCAGTATGCAAAATGTGCTTGAATGGGATCTACTTCTAGGCAGTCATGTGCCGACCAGTATGGCTTGAGCCGCCACTAAGACAAACCGCTGGGAGCAGACGTTGTTGTCTGTTATTGCCCCTGTAGATGTTAGCCTGTTACTCTGAATCTTCTAGTGGCAGGGGAGTCTTTATATCTTCATGTCTCACAAGCACCTAGGAGAAAGCTTTGTATATTCAGTCTTTAGGAAACATGAATTAATGAACAAACATGCAAGTGAATGAGTATTGATGTCATTTTGATATGGGCCTCCAGTGTTTATTTGTTGGAAATTTGTATTGAGCACCTACTCAGCCAGAACCTTGCAGGCAGGTGATTGAGAATTGGGACAGGGTAACAGGGCAGCTTTGAGAGATGAACCGGGTTGGTCCCCTAGAGAAGAGAAGGTGCTTGCTCAAAGCTCAGGGTGGGTAGCAGGTGCCAAGGCATGGAACACCAGAGTCTTGAGGCCAGAGTGAGCTGGCTAGGTTCCTGGTTTAGACTTGTTCCATTACATAATAGAACAAATCCATTCAGGGCACTGTACACATGACCACGTGTGTTTTTCTTATGAAACTAGACAGATTGTTAAGGCAAAGGTAGAGAGAACATTTTCCTGCTTTACTATTCTTATGGGAATTCACTGTAACCAGATGAGTCAATGTGACTCACCCTACATCTTTTTTCTTTTAATAATATAACAGTATTATTGTCCATTGCTCACCTAGGTCACATACTGTTATTCTAACCTCTGTTCTCCTCCTGAGTTACTACAATTATCCCCATCAAAATAGGAAATGAGCCTTCCTTGGGAAAGACTAACTTCACCTGCTTCACCAGTGGCGGTGGACTCAGGATTCAGACCTTTGAGTCTGTGCTCCTGTCTCTTGCCTGCTATATTTTTCCCTGTGGATGCTTAATCAAGGTTGATTATTCCAAAATATAGAAATAGTGGTGAGGCATCACAGCTGATGAGACTCTTTCCTTAAATTAATTTTTGTCCATTCCAATGAAATTTTTAAAAATGTAATTAAAATGATTGGAATATTCCCTCCTGTATTTGAAGAAAAAGGGTTTTGAGCTATATCATAAAAGGTGACTTCATCACAGGGTACTTACTCTGATCTAAAATGTCTGCCTGTTTATGGGAATTTGAGTTTTTAATATTCTTACTTTAATCTTTGGTCCCTTTACTGCAAAGTACTTTGAGCTTCCTCTTTAAAGAAAAATTACTCACATAACCACAAATTATTTTCAGTGGAAATTATATTCCTCACCATTTCCAGTGATGTTCCAAATAAAAATTGAATTTGATCAAGAGAGAGAAGTATAAAGAAAATAGATGCAAGTGTGGCCTCAGATGAGAAGTAAAACAATCATCTGTTAATTGGGAATGATTTAACTTTGTGAAGAATGATCAGTTCTTAGAAGAGACCTCTCCTTTCAGAAAGCAATTTCTCTTTATTAAGAAAGCACATGGGGCCCTCCCTGGTGGCGCAGCGGGTTAAAGCACTGCACTGAGAAGCTAAAGCCACTTCCACATGAGTTCAATCCCCGCCTGCCTCAGTTGTGATCATATGGCGCAGCAGACCTCTCCTGACCTGCCCGCTGCTCCCCTCAGCAGTGTACTTCGTCGATCTGCCTGTTCTGCTCCCCACTTTGTCCTTGGTGGGTTCTCTCACCCTCTGCATCTCTGGCCTGTACCCCAGTTCTGTATAAATAAATAAATAAATCTTTGAAAAAAAAGAAAGCACACATGATAGTTAAGTATATTGCCTCTGCTATACTAGTTGTGCTCATTTTTACCAACTTGTTCAGGTGCATAATCAAGTTTTAGGATTAGTCTCAGCATTTCATATGAGAAATAATAAATTTATTTATTTTAAAATTAACTTACTTGATTGGCAAAATTGTTGGATCTTTTGGAAACCCTATAGCAGTTTATTGTACTTTTCTACTCATGGGTACAATGGAAAACTTTTGTTCAGTATCAAAGCCTAGTGTAAGACTGGCTTCAGGGGTGTGGTTGGGATAACAGTGTGTGTTATAATTATCAAAAAAAAAAAAAAATCAGGCTCTTCTTTGTCACGGAGGCTGGTGTGGGGAGTTTGAATGTTTCTCAGTTTGCACAGTGTTTCCCATGTATCAAAGCTAATAAATCAATTGCAGTTTATTATATTTTGCCTTTATGTTTTATAAAGTTGGTAGCTTAGTAAAATCCTGTGTGAGCTTTATTTTTACTTTGTGGCCTGTTTCTCCCCCTTGCTTCTCTTCCATCAGAGGTACATCGCCATTGGTGAACTGGGGAAAGCGACTGACACCCTGGACTCTACGGGGAAAGTAACGGAGGAGAAACCCTATGGTATGACATTCACTTACTGTAGTTCTCTTCTTGTTAGCATGTAAAGAAAATTTTTATAAATTCAGAATTTTAGAATATACCTTTTACCTGCTGTTACCAATGATTTTGGTTTTCAGTGCATTTCCTTGGGTTAAGAAGATTGGAAATTGCTTATCACATTGATGTTTACTTGGTGCGAGTTTGTTCATATTTATTATAATCGCCTCATTCTAGGGTCAGTTTTTAAATGTTCAGTAATCTTCCGAATGTGTCCCTTACCAAAAAACATTTATAGTTAGGATCTAGGACATGTTTCCTAGTACATGAGAAGCAGAGACAGTGTTAGTCTTGCCATTGTTTTTATTTTTTGTTTTATATTTATTTCTTATCAGTGAAAATGAATGTGCCAAGTTTAGTACTCTAAAATTAATCATATTCCTTTGCTTTCAGAGTATGTAAAGAGATAATGATAGAAACAAGCTGTTTTTCTGGCAGCAGAGCAGAACTCACTGGGGCCCACCTTAGTTTTTCTACCATTCCTTCTTTCACTACTTTAAGGAAGGAGAGATAAATGAAGTGGTTTCCTAGCAACTCTTACAGTGCTTATGCTATTTATAATTCAGTGTTTGCAGTTTTGTATAGTCAGCTCACCTACATTATTGTGGCACCAATTGTGAATTATTGGTCGACTTCCTCGAGGTGGGGCTTGGCCTGCCTTCAGTGTTCCCTTTTTAATGTACCTGTAGGCAGTCCTTCCTCCGGCTTCCCTGTCTTTTTGTCATCTTCACATATATGGTATATTGCCCCAGCAGTAAGAACCACCTTTCTTGTTTTATAATAGCTTCACTTGTCCAATTAACATTTATATGTAGCCTACTGTCTTGCTTGGTTAAGCAAGCCACACAATGGAAATAAAAAATCACTGATTTGTTGAGTTTTTTGTAAAAGCTGTTAAATTATCCTTGGGATTATTATTATTAGGAAATAATAGCACTTATGGGAACCTAACCATAATATTCAGTCAGAAAGCTTTTAGATTACAGAGAGGTAGGGAAGGAACCAGGAGATTGCAGATTTCCAGAGTATATTACAGTTTACACCTGTACACATAATCTGTACACATTTACCAAAAGGAAAATAAGTATAAGACCTAACCTGTGTCCTTAAGGAACTTCTTTCTAATGGAGAACTAGCTCTAATGTTCTTACTATCTGAGTCCTATCGCTGAAACCTGTGCCAGGTAATGTCTTCTTTACTATCCTGAAATAAAGAAATACTCCAACCTATCTACACATTGTAAAAAGTCAGTATAGTAAGCAGACTATAAAAGAAGAAATAAAAATAATTCATTTTAAAATAGACACATCAACATGTAAATGCAGAGATTTTTACACTAAAAGTTTTAGTGCGATAGCTGTTTACATGTACATCTAAATCACTAAAAGCCACAAGTGCAAATGCAGATCGATGTGGGTATGTTGTGTTGATGACTCACTGCTGGAAAACTCATTATATCTGAGCTTAAACAGAACATGGAATTAGGTTCTAGCCTTATGTAATTGCAGACAGACCCCAAAAGTCATGCAGTGCAGTGGGCGCTTCCTGGAGCCCCGTCCCCCTGCCCCAGCAGGACACTCCTGAGCCCCACCTGTTCAGTGCTCTGCCTGTGCCGCCACCCCACCTGGTCATTATCACTGTCAGAAACGCAGATCTTAGTTGACCTGTGGAGAACACTGACATTTGGATAAAGTAACTGGGAGTGCACAGTAAATGGCAATGAATGTTGTGAAGTCATTTTGTCCTAAGTAGGCTATTTTTAGTCATTGTTTCCAATAGCAAAGTTAGCTCAAAGGAATTAAAAAAAAATCTGGCTTAGTAGACTCAACTTCCAAACCATATTAAGAGCCCTTCTCTTTATTCTCTCTCCTAACATCTTCTGTTTTACCAAGGAACATTTTTACTGTTTATAAATATTTATTTGCTTGTTAATCCCTAAGCTCTAGGGCTGAAATCGTGTCTCTTTGGTTCTTGGTGTCTAAAACAGTGCAGTATATAGAATAAAGCCTTTAGGAATAAACTAAACAAGTGAATAAAGTGAGTATCAATAAGGAAAGTAATAGATGCATTTACGAAGATTACCAGCAAGTCACAGGAGAGGCAAAGCATCTTCGTACCTTCTGCTGCTCTTCCCTTTCTCACAATTTAGGTATTGAGTCAGGTAGTTGCTGTTCTCTGAGGAGACGGCTTCATCATACTTACCTGTTCCCACTAAACTCAGAGCACAGGGATTGTTTTGGCTTCCTAGGCTGCTTTAGTTGTACACCAAGCTTCTGGAAGGCTGAACTGCTGTGGGAATCCCTTTTCCCTATCCCTTCTGTGACTGTATTTTATTGGGAAGCAGGAACTGTGGAAGGAAGGGAATGTGGAAGCATGCCTATCCTGTGTTCCAAACACCACCACCCCTTGGTCCCAAAATGGTCTTACCAAGGTCTTGACCTTGCTAGCATCAGGTGGAAGTGACTCTTCCTGGACTGGTTTGCTTGCCCACACTTCCTGGAGGAAGTGAAAGGGTTGAATTGGTTCTCAAATTTAGGTTTAAATGAACAGAGCACTACTATAGTAGAGCTGGTGTGTAGCCTGGGTATCAGTCGTCTTGTGGCTGCTTGGGAAACTTTGTATTTAAACTTTTTTTATTGTAAAATATTACATAAATAAGGAAAAGTGGACAAAACTTATATTTATAGCCCCATGAACTATCACAAAATGAATATCATGCAGCTGCCACTATAGTCAAGACATAGAAACCCACCCTGAGCTCTCACCCAGTCACTACCTCATCTCTCATTTCCACATCCCACAATGCATATGTGTGTGCTTTCATGTGTTATAGTATACATACGATTGTGTACATTTGTAGTATAGACATGCACGCTCTCCTGTTGTTAGACATTGAGGTTGACCCCTGTCGGAGACCTCATGATTAAAGCCCACCGCGTATATTGTATCTGTCTTTTGGTAGACACATATACTTACTTCTCTTGGAAATGTACTTCAGTAAAATTCCTGGGTCAGAGGGTAAATATATATTTTTTGGTGCTAGATGTTGTCAAGTGGTTGTCCGACTTTACTTCCACTAGCAGTGTATAAAAATTCCATTTGTTCCATACCCTTGGCAACAGATAGGATTAACAGTATATTTAGTTATGGTCATTGTGTTAAATGTGTGTGGTATTTTGATGTGGCTTTGTTACTGCTGAGAGTCAGCATATGTTTATCACTTTGTTTCCTGGCCATTTTCTCTGTAGACTGTTCAGGTTTCATGTCCATTTTCTGCTTTTGTTTCTCTTTCCCTGTTGAATTTCCCACTTTTCAAAACTGATATGTGTGAACTCCTTCTATAATCTTCTTTTGGTAATGTGTGTTCCAGATACTGTCTTCTCTGAGACTTGCCTTTTTCTTCTCATAGTTACGTCTTTTGGAAAACAGAAGTTCTTAATTTTAATTTAGTCCACTTTATCAAGTCTTTTCCTTGTGGTTAGTCCTTTTGGTGTCCACTTTAAGAAAACCTTTCCCACTCCGAAAGCTTAAGAACATTTTTTTCTGTATTCTAGAAGCTTTGTTGTTTTGTTATTCCCTTTACACATCTAACTCGTTACATTTTTCTATGTAGATATCCAGTTGGCCCAGCACTTCCCTCCACTATGTTGCTTCCGTGGTACAAACCCAGTACCATGGCCATGGGTTTGTTTAGAGTCTCTTTTTTGATACTTTTGCTAACACTAAACTATCTTAGTTTTAGAATAAGTCTTGATAATCTGAGAGAACAAATCTTCCTACTTTATTTCTGATAGATTTTTTGCTATAACTTTTTTATAGGAACAAGGAAGTTGCTTTCTATTCCTAATTTATTAGTGTTTAAAAAAAAAAAAACATGAACCAGACACCTAACATTATCATTTTTTCTTTATATATTGATTTTTCTCCTTGTTCAAATATTAAACTAACTTTACACTTTTGGAATAAGTCCAGCTTGATCATGATGCATTATCCTTTATACAAACTGCTAGATTTAGTTTGCTAATACTTAGTTAAGGCTTTTCACCTTTTCTTATGGGTGAGATTACCCTGTATTTTTCTTCTCTTCATGTCCTTCACTGGTTTTGATATCCAGGTTAAGGTGGGCATCATAAAATGTATTGGGGAAAAACATCTTTTTTCCTATTCTCTGGAAGAATTTGTATCAATTGGCATTATTTTTTTCTTTTTTTAAAAAAATGGTTGGGGCCCTCCCTGGTGGCGCAGCAGGTTAAAGCACAGCACTGAGAAGCTAAAGCCACTTCAGTATGAGTTCGATCCCCGCCTGCCCCGGAGGTGACCACATAGCGTGGCAGACCTTTCCTGACCCGCCCGCTGCTCCCCTCAGCAGTGTACTTCATCAATCTGCCTGTTCTGCTCCCCACTCTGTCTCTGGTGAATCTGCTCACCGCCCCTGCACGTCTGACCTGTACCCCAGTTCTGTATGCGAAAATAAATAAATTTAAAAAAAAAATGGTTGTTAGAATTTACTGGTTGATAATCTGGAGTTCTCTTTGTTAGGAAGATTTTTAATCATGGGTTGGATTTCTTTGCTAGCTATTATTAGTTTTAATTCTTATGTCATGTTAGATCATATTTTGCCTAGAAATTTGTCCATTTAATCTACATTTTCAGACTTAGTGGTCAGAATTGTTCATAATCCTTTATGATGTTTCATTTTATTTTTAATAATAGCAAACTTAGAGGAAATTTGTAAAAATAGAGCCATTGTTTTGTAGTTTTCAATTTTGTATATGAAATCCCTAAGTAATTCATATTTTTGGTTCTATTATAAATTGGATTTAAAAATTTTCAATTTCTAATAGTTTATTGCTGATATATAATAGTGGAGGTTTTTTTTAATTGATCTTATTCTTTTAATATTGCTAACACTCATTATTAATTCTAGATGCTTATTTAGTACTTTCTTCATTCAGTAAGAAACATCTTTTACTCTTTTCAGAGCTCTTCCAGTTGCAGGTCTTTGGTTAATTGTGGTGATTCACTATGTGTCTGTGTGTGCCTGTTGATATGTGTGTTGGAATTTAGCTAAAGTCTAAAGTAGACCCCAAGAGACATCGTTCTCTGTGTAATTCTCCAAAATTCTACTTGCTGCTCTTTGCCCAAGTTGTGATTTCTGGTCAGTGAGATCCCAGTGCCCTGTTTGAGATTCCCCTCCTGCATCCCCATACTGGTTTCTGGCACCTGGAGCCAGAAGCCAGGGATACCTGTTTCATCCCTTTTTTTCAGGGACTGTAGCCCTGGCTATCTATTGTCCAGAATTCACAGTAGTTGTTTGTTGTCTTTTCCCCAAATTAATAACTGTTCACGGTGGCAGAACTTGTCCAGTAACAGTTACTATTGTGATCGAATATTGTCTTTACTCCATAGTTCAGGTAAGTATCAACTATCCTGTTGTAACTTCACTGGAAGCGTTAATACATTTTAAGCAAATATAACATGTAACATGATCGTGGGTATATTAATTTTATGAGAATGATGTTAAGGATTAATTGCAAATGAATAATGAATGTCACATTGATGATTTATTAATTTACTGAACAGAGAATAATTACGCAGGTCCACCTTCTTTTTTCACACATACATCTTTAGGCTAGATACTGGACACATTTTCTTTAGAGACTTTATTCTCCATTTTTAAAAGCTCCCTTGGGGGTGGTCTTTATTCTTATAAAGATAATATTATTATTTGAATTGGACGAATGCCAGGTTTTCAGCAATCGCCAGCATGCTTCACTATACTACATGTAATGAATATAATAAATGTTAACTTTTATTCTAAAATATCACATACTTTTATTTTGAAGTAATTTGCTGCATAGGCTTTCTGTCTGTGATTCAAACATCAGATGAAGAATTGGTCAATATGACTTTTAAATGCCCTTTGACCTTGTAATTCTGTTGTTCTTTGGCAAATTAAATTCAGCAAGAATGTCTCAGTGTCATCTTAATTTTGTACATGTCATATAAAAAAATTGTTATCCTTGCCTTTGGGGAGCTCAGCATTTCATTGGTGAGTTAATCTATGGTGGGTAACGGTTAGCAACTATGATTTTATGGCAGGAAGAGTAACCAAACTGTGATGCCTAAGATGTTTAGTCAGAGACACCATGCAGACGTAGAATAAAAAAGAATACATCTTGTCATCTTGCATGGGGGAACGTCAGTAAGAGTCATTACGGCAGGACGCAGAGGTTCACATTTGCAGGAGTGATAGTCAGGAGCCGGCCTAGCCACAGTAGAGAGCTGCCGGGTCTCATGTTTGTAGTGTGTGGCTAGATTATGAACTATTGCGGCTTTATCAACAATAGCATTTCTTTCAGCACTGGCCAGCATGGGGGTAGCCTTAGCTGTCAAGAAATAGAAGTTTTGAATAACTCAGGTGCCCCTAGTAATTCTGTAGTGGAATAAGAATCTTTGTGGAATAATTCTCATCTGTATCATAAAATACATGTTTGCAAAGAGTATGGCCATCTGACATCTGCCTTTTGGAGCTACTAGTTGTTGGAGAAATCCCTCTGAGTTCTAGAGTTTCTTCTCCATTTGAGTCTAGTTTCTTCTCCAGTTGAGTCTAGTAGATTCTGGTCTTTTGTTCATGTTTAGCTTATGGGGATCAAGGGCACACGGAGAATAAAACCAGCTTGCTGTGTTTGTTGATAGTGAAAGGTAGGCACAATATTTCATGCTGTCTGTAAACTGTTATTCTGGTGTTAGAGTAGTAATTCTAATTCAGCACATTGACTAGTTTTTGTTTAATATTGTTAAATTAAAATAAAATGTAATATCTGTATACCAGGATAAAATGTTTCAATGAGTTTCCCTCCAAATGACAAAAACACCATTACTTCTTTCATTGACTGTGACCTAAGTAAGTTGAAGAGTCATCTGTTAGGATTCAAATCCCAACTACTAAATACTCACTTGTTAAAATTATGGAACTGTACATTTATATTACATCATTTTGTTAGAGTATCGAAGATGAACACATGAGGCCTGTTTTTTTTTTTTTTTAATTTTCTACGATTATTATTTAGGAATACTTTGTTATCAGGATAAAATCCTTGCTGTGGAATACTCTTGTTGCACTCACTTATGAGGCAAAAGGCAGACTTCTAAGAATATTCCTTTGAAAGAACGAAATTCTGGGGCCTCCCTGGTGGGGTTAAAATCTCAACACTGTCAAGCTATCACCACCCACTATAACACGAGTTCAATTCTTGGCCGACCAGGGAGGTGACCCACATGGCCCAGCAGACCTCCCTTTCTCAACCACTGCTCCCCTCAGCAGTGGATTTCAGTAGATCTTCCTGCTCTGCTCCCCACTTTGGTGAATCCTCTCACCCCCAGCACCTCTGGCCTATACCCGCAGTTCTTATATGCATAAATAAGTAAATCGATAAATAGATAGATAGATAAAGAGATAAATAAAATAAAATAATGAAATTCCAAGAGCAGAGAATAGAGGGAAGGAGACAGATAATTACAGCTTAGCTTGGGGGCAAATTTCATTTGAGTGTATAAAATTTATTTGATACCAGAGAACAGTTTTGAAGTTTGTCGGTTGAAATTTCAAAGGTGCTTAATACTTGAAGATATTCAGTACCACAATTGCTACTTACCAAATTTGATGCCAAGAGAAATTTAGAAAGTAACTCATGGGTATTTTTCTATTGCTTTCTGCTCACCTCATTTTTGTTCATCCCAGGACCATTTCTGTGAAATGGTCCATTTCTAGTGAAATACTTTCTTGGGTCTTCTAAAAGCCATAGTAAAAGAATCAGCTAAACACATGCAAGATGATTCAGTCATTTCTATTGGAGAAAAAAAATTGACGCAAAGGAAATTTAGTCTTAATGTTGAATGATGGAAGATTTTTCTCCCCCTTTAACCATACTAACGTATTTTTACCCATCTCAACAAGGTAAAATTTGGCCTGTAAAATGTACATTAGAGTTTAAACTGTGTTGGGAAACATTTTAAGTGAATTTTCAGGACCATTGGTGCTTTGAAACAAAAATACATACAACTGGTTGTTTTAGTATTACTTTTCATTCATTTTTGCAGATAAAATAACACAAGAAGATATCGAAGGTATTCTACAGAAATTTACTGGAAATATAATGCAGGTGCCTCCACTGTAAGTTCAATATTATATTTGAGTAGACATTTAACTTCATTTTTCAATGTCATTTTAACAATAAGGAAGGGGGCTTAGTATATTAGATGACACCCTCACTCAAAGGTGAGCCTGATGCAGAAAGAAAGCTGAGCTGCTAACGCTAAATAGTAGTGGAAGTGGCCTGCCTGGCCCTGGTCATTGCCCTTGTCTTGACATTTGTGCTTTCCCTGTTGATCACTCCTGCTGATCAGATTACGGATACGGGGCAGTTCTGGATCCCAAAGATGGCGCTTCTAGAGTTGCTGTGAAGGAACAAGTCTAGTCTGATAACAGGGTCAGAATTGGGATTGTCACTGCCTCTCAGGTCTTGGAAACCATTCCTTTTGAGCCTGGAAACTTTTGCTTCACAATTCTCTAACAAATGAAACAAGTGAAAGTATCATTTATTAACAGTATATGTGTATCGCCCCACTACTCAATCATGATTTATTTGGACAATCACTCTTTCAAAAAAAACCTCTTGTATTTTAAATGACTGAATGGTCATCAGATGTGGCAGGCTAAGTCATTAATGATTCTTTTAGGAGGTACTTAACTTTGTATTTTAAAATCTTGGATCTTTTCAAAACCACTGAAATGACTAGATAAATATTTCTTCATAATTTTCCTTTAACTAAAGATTTAAAAATTTAGCAGGATCTGAATAAACATGTTTGGGATCATTATTGTTAAAATAAACTCAGGATATTTATATTCGTAAGAACTGTTTTAGAATTTTCTCTGGAGTTGTTCCAAGGATTTTATAATCTAAACAAAATTTGATCCCACAAAGCTAAAACCTGTTAAATAGATTGTTTATTTGCTTTTCAGAAACATTGTAGTAATTTTTACATGAAAATGCATCTTATCGTGGAAGCTGTTTTAAGGCTATATAGCCTGGGTCACTGACCAGAGACTTGTGGCCTTAACGTGGGAGGAAGTCTGGTGAAGACATAGAAGACCCAGTCCAGGAAGATGACTGGAGAATGAAGTTGACATAACGCTCATTGAGCACCAGCATGAACTAGATTAGCCTGAGATGTTTAGGAACACTATCCCTGGCACCATTTTGGAGCAGATTAGAGGACAAAACTAGTTTGTTTGCAAGGTTTTTCAATTGAAAGGGCTGCTAGTCATCCTTCATTCCATCTGGAGGTAATTGTCTCTCAATTCTTCCTCTTTCTTTCTCTCACTTTCTTATCTTTCAAGCTATTCTGCTTTAAAGAAAGATGGACAGAGACTTTCAACTTTGATGAAAAGAGGTGAAGTAGTAGAAGCAAAACCTGCCAGGCCAGTTACTGTATACAGTCTCTCCCTTCAAAAATTCCAACCACCATTTTTCACATTAGGTAAGATGGAGATATTTAAAGTAATTTACATTTACATGTACTTTATTTTGTATTTGGCTGTATTTGTAAAATTTTAATTATCTGTAGGATATTGGAAATTTTTAAAATTTTGAAATGAAGGCAGATTAGAATTTTCTAATACCTTTTCAATAACACACTTAATAAAAATATGATTACTGTATGGAAGTTCAAAAACACCCTTGTAAATAGACTGGCCTTCATCTATTGTATTGTGTTATCTTTCCATAATGGTGGAAATAACACATTTTAAATATCTACGAAGAGTAAGAATATGCTCCTTTTTTTAAAATTTTATGTTATGGATGTGTGGTTCTTCCTATTAAATAGTTGTAACCTGGTAGTTCACATTCGGTTTTGAAATTAACATGAAATTAAATTTTAATTCAGGTTATTGATTTGAATGTGTCTGTAATTTATATTGGAAATAATTTAAAAATCAAAAAGTTTGTTTTTCTTGTTTGAAAATTTTAAGATCTGGTTGCAGAAAGAGCTATGAACCTACAAGAACTGTGAAGAATCAAACCTAGTTCACACTCCCGTTAGTTGATCCTATTCTTAATTTCACAGTGTGTAATAAATAGGATTCCCATTAGAAATAATTTTCTAAAACCTTTTCCATAAACTTTGTTGCTTTTTTTCCATTAATGTTATTATTATTTAATGTGTTTTAAGGAGATTTAGAGTGTGGTTCTTATATAATTAAAAGAGTCCACACTTTGCTCTGAGTTTCTTGATTCTAAAATATTTGACAAATAATGAAAATAAAAACCACTAAAATATTTCACTCAATTCCATGGTAATGCACCAACTTGACTGGCAAAGTAGATATTAGTGATGCAAGTAAAAACTCAATATTTTTCAATTCATGCAAGGTATAATTTTTTTTTTAATTGTGATACTCTAAAAGAACTATCTAAAAAAATAGTGCAAGAGCATTAGCTTTTTTTCCCCTTCTTTTTTTAAAATCTCAGCAGTGGTCCCCAAACTTGAACTTACAAAAAGGGATAAAAAATTAAGATCTCCAGGTGGTGAATTTTGATTAATTCCCCAAATAGCTTTATGTATATGATAAAACTAGAAATAGCTGAATGTCTGGTGGATGAATAAAAATAATCCAGAGCCCAGCCTCACCAATAAACTTGTATTATACTGTTGAGATGTTTAGATTTGCATTCAGGTTTGAGTCATTGTGTGATTTTAAGTTATGATTTCTATTTTTTAAGTGTACAAATCGAAAATATTTAAAAAATCTGTAGCTCATGATAACAAAACTGAAATGTCTAACCATTTAAAACCTATTAAATGAACAAGGCATATAATTCTGAAGGTATTTTTTTAATCTACAGCTCATGATAGGAAGCAAAGCTGAGATTTCTAACTATTTGAAAGCTATTAAATGAACAAGGATAAAGTATTAAAATGGTATGACTTGCCAGTTAATTTAAAATGTGTTCATGAGTCTCTGCTGTTTGCTTTCTCCACACTCTGACTTTTCAATCTCACAAACGCATATGCTACTGGATGAATAATTTATGTTTTTAGCACATAAATATTTTATCACTCAATTGTTTGCATAGTGCATTTCTACATTTGTTTAGGGGCATCATTTCTATGTAAAGTGGATTTCATAGGAGGTTAGCAATTTACCATGTCACTGTTAACATTCCAGATGTTGAATGTGGAGGAGGTTTTTATATCAGAAGCTTGGTCAGTGACATTGGCAAAGGTAAGTGTAAAGCTGAATTATGAGTTATCATTTAGAGAGTCATATTCCTTTTTTTATGAGTAGCAGGATTTTCTGTGTTTTGGCTGTTTTGTTTTGTTTTGAATCTGAGTACTGGCCTTAGGAATTGTAGTCTTGTTGCCTTCAGCTTTAGAAGAGTTGTGGGTTTATAGCATACAATTATCAATATCACAGCTGCAATGGAATGCTTATAATGGGCGAGAAGAGAAAGCAGCAGAAAGATGAAGAAGGTAATAACGAATGTAAGGGCCTTCATTTTCCAACTACAAAATATTTTAACTCCAAGTAAGAACAAGAAAAACAGATTTAGCCTTTTAAAAGTTATTCTCATTGATGCAAGTTAGATTTTTTTTTTGAAAGATTTATTTATTTATTCATACAGAACTGGGGTACAGGCCAGAGATGCGGAGGGTGAGAGGATTCACCAGAGACAGAGTGGGAAGCAGAACAGGCAGATCGACGAAGTACACTGCTGAGGGGAGCAGCGGGTGGGTCAGGAGAGGTCTGCCACGCCATGTGGTCACCTCCGGGGCAGGCGGGGATCGAACTCATGCGGAAGTGGCTTTAGTTTCTCAGTGCAGTGCTTTAACCCGCTGCGCCACCAGGGAGGGCCCCGCAAGTTAGATTTTTTAAAAACTGAAAGCCATTGTGTTATAAGTGGCAGACAGCTGCAGGCCCTTCTCTGCCATTTGCTGCCCTTTGCTGGGCGGGTCATGCGAGCTCATCTGCAAAGTGAAAGTAAAAGTCAGCACATGGGCTTGCTCCATGGGCGCAATTACTTGTCGACTTTGAAGCAGTTTACAAGGTGAGTTATTAAATATTGCTTGCAAATAGGATTTGCTAAATACTATTTTGCTCCTTGGTCATCTCTTACTGTCAAGGCTCATGGTTCTTAGATCGTTATTGCAGTGTTACATCTGGGATTCTTTTGACATGTTTGAATTGAGTTCTTCTGTCATTAGAAAAACCATGGGCTACATACTGAATCAATTGCATTAGGACTTTTTTTCTTGTCTTGTGTTGCCATAGAACTCTCTTCATGTGCCAATGTCCTAGAACTGACCCGAACCAAACAAGGGCCATTCACCCTTGAAGAGCATGCGCTTCCTGAAGACAAATGGACAATCGATGACATCGCACAGTCTCTTGAGCACTGCTCATCCCTTCTTCCAGCAGAGCTGGCTCTTAAAAAATCAAAACCTGAAGAGTCTAACGAACAAGTTTTGAGCTGTGAATATATCACTCTAAATGAGACCAAGGGAGAAGATGATGTGATTAAGACAGTTTAAGATTGGTTTGGGATCATCATCAGTTCCTCAGTTGACATTTGAATCCTGAGTGCAGAATGACAAGCTACATGCAAAAGACAAGCAACTTTTTTTTTTTTTGCATGAAGAAAAAGTGCCCATTGTTTACAGTTCTATATTATGCAATTGTCTGCTCGCTATTGAATAGCCTTGCAGGTGTTGGTTCTTTGCTGTACTGTGAAATACTTTCTTATGATGTTATTACGCTGTTAGAGTGGATTCAGGAAAATCAACTTTCTGTTTTTAGCTCTCTTCAAAGTCTTTTCCTGTGAAAAAGTTGAACCTATTTTCCCAATCAAAGAAGAAATGTGAACTACATGTTTCTTTGGTGCCTCATGTGAATGTACATCGGTGATACTCTGACTTCATTTCGCTTCCTGCTGGCGCTCTGGGAGTGAAACCCTTTCACTGTGTTTGAAAAGGCCACGATTTAATGCTGTCCTATATTTGGCAGGATTTATGATTATCAATAGCATTTCTTTGCTAAAGCTGCATTTATCTGGTGATAGCTGTGTTTGGAAACTAATAAACTTTTATAATAAATATTTATAAATGAACCAAGTTATTGCTGCTGCTTTTAATGTGATAAAAGTAGAAGACTTAATGTTGAATTCAATTTACCTCTGTACTATCGCTAGGACTCCTGTGACTTATATTTTGGCAGCTGTGAGATCTTTTTCCTAGTAGTTTCATCAGTACAGTTGGCCTACCCTATACCAAGTTACTAAACAGTATAATTTTTAAAAATCAAACTAAAGACTGTATCTTCAATTAAAAATTTTTACTCTCTAGTCTTTAATATTTATACCTTTTTTATAGGGCATCATCCCCATGACATTTCTTTTAGTTTGCTCTTTCAAGTGATATTTATAGATGCTGGCCTGCAGTTCCAGTTAATCTCTTCTGCTCTAAATATTTAAAAACAGTTTTTCTCAAATACTTTCACTCATATAGGTTACTGAATATACCCTTTGCTTCTTTACTATCATCAAAAATACAGTCACCTTACGAAATAGTAGACTTTATATGCAATGAGTGCTGACATATTTTTGTTATGGAAAAACAGTATATTATGCAGCCAGTTTATAGAAATGCTCAAATTCCACTTCCTTTATTTAAAAAAATAAAATAGTTTCAGAAGGAAGAATGATGAAAAATTTCATAAAATAAAAGTTCTTAAATTTTTATGAATGACCTTTCTTTAAGAGGTGGTTGATTTAAAAAATGTTTTTAAATATTTGAAATAATTAAGTGGTTTTATTTGTGGTTCGCCTAATATAAATTCAGTATAAAAAGTTATATGCCTCAGTAGAGCACTTTTGGTATATTGGGGACATTTTAAATGAAAATATTACAACTAATTTTTGTCATGACACAAAATTATAAGGAAGGTCTTGGATATCTTGACGTGTTAACTAAAATACCAAACACACCAAGTTGTAACAGCAGGCTGCAATGGTAGTTATTCATATCTAGTTCCCTGTGGCTTGCATCAAGCACAGGGGCAGGGCTGGGAGGCCGGTGATACCATTTCTTCGTTCACTGCCACTCGAGGTACAAATTGAGGAATATTTAAAGTCTTCGAAAACAACCAGGCCATTTGCCTCAACTTAAAACTAACGTGATTTACTGGTGGGGAAGAGCAGAGATGAGATGATTTGGAAAGACAAATAACTTATTAAAATACTAACCAACTTTCATCGTGACAACACTGAAGAGAATTCTGCTAAATGGGAATACTACCCTCATCATCCTGACACAGTGATATCAGAACTTTAATCCTGGGTTGATATTTTACCTTTTATTGTTATTTGTCACATACTTATAGTCATAAGACAATTATACTTTTTAATTGTTTTCCCCCATTTTTAATTATCTGACTCCCTTTCTGTTTAGTTTTGCTAATGCTAATTTTAATCACATTCAGTTTTTAAAATCATTTCCCTGTTGCTAAATGTTTAAGTTATTTTCAAATATGTTAGGATAAATTCCTCAGAGTGCAATTATTATGTGAAATAATATGAACCACTTTATGGTTCTTAATATGTTTGCCTTATGCTTTCCCAAAGAGTTGTAACAATTTATGTGTCAAATTGGAGTATATCAGTTCAGTAAAAGTTTACAGCTTTTGGTGGGGTTTTATGTGTTGTTGCTAATTTAGTAGGTGTAACAGTTCAACATGGCTCTGTTTGCTTTATAGTCTTTTGTGGATTTTTCTGTATACTTTTTTCATTTATATAAATAAATGTCTTAATGGTTTCCTAATGTATTTGTATGCGTTATTTATTCAGTAAAACACTGGTAGAAATATTTTCATGGTCTGTTGTCTAGTTTTATTTTTCATTTTTGTCAACTGAATTTACCAACTAATTATAATAATTCTTTCCCTTTTATAATTGACAGATTTATAAGCACGAGTAGTTCAAATTTATTGAAACTGAAATATTAATTCTCATAGCTGCTGAAACCGATCAAGGTTTTTGAAAAGCTAAAGAATCAATCATAAAATGTCTTCTCCTGAGAGTCTGGTATTTGGTTACCAACTGTTTTGTCTTCATTTTAACCAAAATATTAATCTGGCATTGATGTGTGGCAACAAGAGGAAGAACCTGGTGGGTGCTCAGTTAGAACTGAGTCTGGCAGGGTACTTCCTCCAAAATGGAGACCCTGACAAACGCGTAATTGAATGGACAATTTAAGGTAAAATTGATGGCAGTTAGTGCTCTGTTGAATCATTGAGGGCCAGAGAATCAGGAATAGAGTGATTAGCATTAGTCATCAAATAATTTTTCTTAAAGGAATTGAATGTGAATTTTATGTGAGTCGTTTCTCTTTAGGTCCTGGGTAGAGTACAGTAGTAAAGTTCTTGTGCTTGTTCTTCTCTGTGGCCAAACAGTGCACCTCCTGGAACGAACCGTGTCTTTTCTCTCCTCTCCAGAGTGTCTGGTGTATATTAGATTTATAGTTCCCAATTATTACCTGTGCCTGTGTGTGAAAGCACAAGCTCTGGAGTTGTCGGTTTTCCAACCACCACTACTTATCAGCTATTAACCTTAGGCAGGTTAATTAACTTTTCTGAGCCCCAGTTTCCTCCATTGTAAAAGGGCAATATTAATAGTGCATACTTCATAAAATTATGAAACCTAAATTAGGTCAATTAGGTAAAATGTTTAGCATGATTCTTAGAACTTAGTAAATAGTAAACCAAGGCAGATGCCTATACCTGATTTATCTGCAGTAAAAAGATAAGTCTGAAAAGCTCATGGTTTATAGATTCAGATCATACAATTCAAGGATACTCTATCAGATATTGTTTTGGTAGGAAAAATTGATGTGAAATAAAGAATTTCCTGGTAGCATAGATGATTAAATAATACAACAGGCCACTGATGGAAAGAATAGTGTTTTAATTTTTATTTTTGAAAAGATTTAGTTACTTATGTACCCAAGAACTGTGGTACAGGCCAGAGATGTGGAGTGGTGAGATAATTCACCAGAAACAGAGTGGACAGCGTAACTGGATCTAGTGAGAAACACTGCTGAGGGGAGCAGCAGGTGGATCAGGAGAGGTGTGCCATGCCATGTGGGTCAGCTCCCTGGCCCGGTATTCAATTCGTGCTGCAGTGGCTGCAGATAGCATCATAGAGCTATGTTTTAACCCGTTGTACCAGCAGGGAGACCCAAAGAAAAGTTTGGAAAATATACATGTTTAGCAGGTCAAATGTATAAAGTATATATGTACATATATACATACTTGTACACACACACAGCTAAAGTTAGTACACCCCTTTCATTTACAGCATTTCCTTTCACCATCCAAAAGCTCCTGTGAAATGGGAAGAATCTGTGTGTCTGCTATTTAGATGAAGAACTTGAAGTGGTGCTGAGCATGCGGTGACTTGCCAAGAGTCACACAGCTAGAGTGGCAGCGCTGAGTCTCTGTACTCTGACTCCAGAATGCTGTTTACGTTACATCTGGAGAAAGTGATCTGAAGCACAGATGTTTAGTAGGAGGAATGCAACACACGCTGTCATGCCAAAAAATAACTGGGAATAAAAGCAGAAAACAAGACATTTGTTTCTGTTATAATATGACAGAAAATAAGGCTCTTGTGGTTTGGGACTGAGCTTTCAGAGAGGAAATGGGGAGTGGGCTGGTCTGAAACTACTCTGGGAGCCCTGCATCTGGTTCTGGGTTACTCATTATGGGCGTAGAGACTCCAACTGGATGAAGTTCAAAGAAAAACTCCAAAATGATGATGGAGCTGGTGGTATTGATTAATAAGGGGAGATTAAAAATGTATAGCTCAGCTAAACAAAGACTAAGGAAAGTTGAATGTAAACACATTTCTGAAATGTGTAAACATTCAAAAGGGAGATGCATTATTTAGCATGATACATGGGGTATATATGCAGATATAGGCAGAAAAGTGAAGCCGATTATAAAAAAAAAAACAAAAAACTTTCCTGATAATCGATTAAGGCAATGGATGGCAGAACCTTTCCTTAGAGAAACAACAGAATCGCAAGCTTTATTACTTTCAACATTTTCTTGGGGTCTGGGTGTCAGAGATGATTAATTTGATCAGGTGTGAGAATAAGAAAATGTCATTTGTAGAGTCACTGTGAAATATAGTAGAACAACTAAGAGAATTGCTTAAAAACATCACAGCAAGGGAGGGAGGGAGAACAGGAGAGATGAAGTAAAAGGGCAGCTCAAACATTGAAACTGAAGGGAAGTACATAGGAGTTCATTAGCTTTTTGCTTTTGTTATGTTTGATACTTTCATCATAAAAATAAGTTAGATATCATTTTCCTGTACAAAACTCATGGATATCTGAAACCCCTAGACTCCCTGAACAGAAGAATCTTCCGGCCACCCAGGAAGGTTCGGGTTGACCAAGGCACAGGTCTGTGTCCTTGTTCTGGTCTTGTAGCTGGGCTGGAGGGCTCATAGAGAACAACCCAAGAAAATTCTTAGGACCATAGGAGCCTTTTGGTAGCTTCAGAAGGTTGGAATTCTAAGGTGAAAGAGTAGAGAGCAGGGTAATGACCAGCCTCTCCTCTCTGGCTCTCTTGCCTTCTGGGAAAATGGCCGCCACTGAGCGACCAGCCCCACTCTCAGCTGAAGATGGTCACAGTGGAGGATTTCAAAGCCCTGCAAATATCACAAAACTGAAATTGTAAAGAATCATGTTAAAGCCTTCTTCACCCCCACTTCAACCTGCAGATCTCACCTCACCTTTTTGCAAATGAACTTTTATGACAGGAAATTTAGGGAGCATTTGGAACGTATTCCTATGTTTACTCTTCAGTTTCTTAGAGAAATAGAAACACTTTATTTGAATTTCACTGATGGTTATCGAAAGGGGATACAGACCTAGTATCTGAAGATCTGTCATGTCTGAATTTCTCCAGATTGAACGAGTAGGCCAGCAAATAGCCTCTGGCATGAAGCTCATAAGAGCTCAGTGCAGTGGAGCGTGATCACCTTTGGAACCTTCTGGAAATGATGTTGAGGGTGAATGGTGGAAAAAATTGGTGGAATCTTTCTCATAAACAAACATGCCTTTCTCCATGCCTGGGTTCAGTGACTTACATCACACCGTATCAACTCTTACCTGGGCTCTTACAATAGCCCTAATTGGCTTCCTTTCCTTCCCTCTCTTCCCTAAGTGACTTCCAGAGAATGTTGTGAAGCACAGTTAATTGTGTCATTCCTCTGTTTCAATTCTTAGCACCTGGACGCTCCATAGTGGTACAGTGGGTTAAAGCGCATTGCTACGAAGCTCTCTGCAGCCATTGCAGCATGAGTTCGGGCCCTGGCCCGGTGGCGGACCCACATGGCACACCCATTGCTCCTCTCAGCAGTTTACTTCAGTAGATCTGCCTGCTCTGCTCCCCACTCTCTCTCTGTTGAATCCTCTTGCACCCCCCACCCTCACCCCTCTGGCCTATATCCTACTTCTTCTATGCAAAAATAAATACAATATTAAAAACTCTTAGCACCTAAAGAATGAACTAGGACAAGGACCATATCTCTGAGTAATCCTGGTGCTTCACGTCATTATCAAATCTTCAGTGAAGATTTGATTGAGTGCATATAACCTCATGCCTCTCCTCTGCCTGTGCCTTTGTATGCATTTAACCTCTGCATGGAAGGTGGCTTCCTCCCCAGTGATTTTTCAAGATTCTCTTTAAAGGTTGCAGTAATGAATATTTGTTTTTGATGGCCTGCCCAGAATTAGTTTATCTTCATCTCACTTGTCATAGCATCTCATACATGTTCCTTCCTCTACTTACCCACACCATTCATTTACTTGTCTGCTCCAGGAGGCTCTTGGAGAGCAAATACTGTGTTTTTATCTTTATTTCCCAGTGTCTGACACATTCCTGGCATTCCACATCATCAGATAAAATGTTGGGAGCCAAATTTTTCTAAGCACGGGAAGGTACTGGGTACTTGACAAGTTGAAGTGAATGCATAAAGAAAGATGGTATTTATTTAGTTGACTTTGATCTTCTCTCCTCTCCTGTCTGTGATTGAAGGGGAGCGTAGCCACAGCAGGAGATCTAGAGGATTTCCAGAGTAGCCATTAGCCCACTGTTGGTCCTTGAGTAGAGAAACATCCACCCCCCTCCCACCCCCCCTACCCCTCCCATTTCTGTGTTTTAGAAACAGGAAGATGAGTAATACAGAGATGTATATGCTGGATATATTTATTCTATGACCCTAACCTGCCTCTCAACTTTAAGAACCTAGGAAAGAGAGGCCCTCCCTGTTTGGTGCAAGGGGCTAAGACATAGCACTAAGAAGCTATCTGCAGCCACTGCAGCATGGGTTCGATCCCTAGCCAGGGAGGTGACCCACATGGCAAAGCAGACTTCTATCTCACTCTCTGCTCCACTCAGCAGTGTATTTCAGTCTATTCTGTTCCCCTTTCTGTCTCTGGTGAGGCCTCACCCCTTTCATCTCTAACCTGCACACCAGCTCTTGTATGCATGAATGAATAAATTTTAAAAAAATGAATCTAAGAAAGAAATAAGATGATATATAACTTATTCTAATTTGTGATAATGTTTTGTTTCCTTTTTAAGGAGGGGGGAAAATTGGATTGTTTGGTTTCTTCTTCAGTAAAAAGCATCTTAATACAAGTGGTCTGGACATCTGTCCCATTTTCAAAAATTGCAAGTTTTGATCATTGCTAAATTGTACAGATCTCAATCTGTCTGCTCTGCATACATTTGCATCTA